GCTGGTTAGCTGTGTGGAGGGGGAGGGCTGGGGACCTGTCAGCTGGTGAGCCTGAGGACCTGAATAAGTGACCAAGTGGGGACCCGGGTGGAAGGCGAAGGGAGGGGTGGACAGGAGCAGAAGCTCTTTGACCACTTGGGACGCCCTGCAGCCCCAAACAGGCGCCCTGCATGAAGCCCGCAGGAGGAGCCGGTCCTGAGGACCGGCCACCGGGTGGAAACAGGGCCAGGGTGTGCTGACCCACGGGCCGCCGAGGCCTGGACGTGGTCGGCTGCTGCGGCTGGCATTCCACCTGGGAAGCGGCGGCCTTTGACCACACGCGGGCCTCATTCCCGTGTCTGGCAGTCAGCCCTGCCCAGCACAGCTCCCCGGGCCACCTGGCTGGCCCAGGACCTAGGTCACTGTCCCGGAGCTCGGCCTCTGTCCCCTCGCCTCAAACCCTCTGCCGTCCTGGTGTGCAGTCAGCGGTGGAGGCCAGTGACCTGAGAGACCGGAGTAGTGCAGCCCTGCCCTCCCAGGAGCGCGCGGAGCTTCCCGCCACTCCAGCCCCAGTCTGTGCTCTGTGGCGCCTGCCTCTGCTCCCGCTTCGGGGCCGTGGTTAACACGGCGGCCCACACGGCCTTTCAGATCTATTTGGTCCAATTAGAGAAAATCCGAGGTCTTGGGGCCAATTTACATTCCTGTGCTTGTAGAAATGCCAGCTGCGCGTCTCCTAATGAGGAAAGTCCTCATGCCGATTAGGGGAAGAGAATTCATCGTGTCCATTCAGTTTAATAAAGGTCAGGACACAAAGCAAGCACCGAGAGTCTGGTCAGGAAATCCGTCGGCAGAGTGCCGCAAAGCTCCAGGCAACTGCTGCTGGGAGACGGCCTTGCGTCTACCCTGTGGAGGGCTGGCACCGCCCAGGACATGACCCAAGGGGGTGACAGACGGGGGAGCTGTGGGCCCGGCCTGTGCTGTAGACCTGCTTCGCGGGGCCGGTCCCAGTCAGCTGGGGTGGTGACTAGTACCAGGAGCCTCCCCCACCCCCCAGGTGCTCAGAGCAGGCAGTGACCACCGGCCCTTTGCACACTCTTGCTTCTTCCTGAGTCCAGGACAGTTCTCATGTGTCGGGCTTCACCCGCTGTGATGCGTGTTTCTGGAGACGTGGGGCTGGGGTCTTCGTGCGCCACGTTGTGGAACAGTGGACTAGTTCCCACCCTTGGAAAAGCGCCTCCACCACGCACCCGGGGCACATCTGTCCCCACTCAGGGCCTTCAGCTTTCGGCCATTACCGCGTTGCTTTATGGCCGTCCAGTGCTTGCCGTGTCAGTGGCTCCTCTCTCACCCTGGGCCTCCAGAGCCTTCGGATGGGTGTGCTTGCCTCTCACCACTCAGGCCAGCACCGCCCAGGGCCACGGCTGTGCTGCAGCATGCACCTGCTGCCCTGGCTTGCTGACAAGCAAGCATCTGCCTTTCTCTCTCCAGAGGGAGGAACTAGAATGTGACCAGCCTGAAGCTCTGGGGGCGGGGCGGGTGGAGGACAGGGGACCCTGTAGAGGGTGATGCACTGACCCCTGGAGGTAGAGCCCTTTGCAAAGCCAAAACCCCTGGGCGAGTTGTTCCTGCAAGGCCGGTGTCTGGTGGCAGAAGGAAGAGTCCCCATGGCCACAGGAAGGAGCCATCGGGCCCCTGCACCAGGCCTGGCTGGAGATGGAGCCTTGGCTTGCTGGGAGGCTGGCCTTGATGGGCACCGGTCAGCTCACACCAGGGGAGACCACCTGTGGGCAGGATGCCTGGCTTCTGGTAGCTCAAGAAGCCAACAGACAGGAGAGGCCACTGGGTGTACCCGGGGCCAGCCTCAGTCACCTTGGAGGAAACTAGACTCAAAGAAGACCCACACAGCCACCTTCTTGGAGGATGGAGGGGGGACATCCGTGTGGACGGACATCCGCGTGATGGAAATCTATGTGGACAGACATCTGCGTGGACAGCTGCATGGATGAACGGCTTCTTGCAGCCTCCATCAGCCAGGATGGTGACCAGGAACAGCATCCTTTCCAGTCCCAGTGCATCGAATGAACCCAATGAGTATGTGGTACGCTTGCTCTGACTCAGAAGCCAAGGTGCCCAGCCACAGGGCAGCAGTGGCCAGGTTTGCCGCTTGTCCTCGGGAGCCACACTTGTCACCAGGAGAATGGGAATGAGTCAGAGCCTTAGTCCTTCCCGGAAAAATGGCCAGGCACCCACCTAACTCACCATAAGTGGCACTGACTCCACTGCCACTTGTCTGAAGAAAGATGAGGTTGTCTGCGGGAGGATCAGCTTGTCTGGGGAAGGATGAGGTTGTCTGAGTGAGGATCAGGTTGTCTGGAGGAGGATCAGGTTGTCTGGGGGAGGATCAGGTTGTCTGGAGGAGGATCAGGTTGTCTGGGGGAGGATGAAGTTGTCTGGGGGAGGATCAGGTTGTCTGGGGGAGGATCAGGTTGTCTGGGGGAGGATCAGGTTGTCTGGGGGAG